CTCCTTGGCTAGTTTCCATCCTTTGCTTCTTGTCCTGCCTTCGGATACCCTGGAGGATAGCTTGACTCCCTCTTCTTTGGGGCAGCCCCTGAGATATTGGAAGACTGCTATCATGTCCCCCCTCGTTCTTCTCTTCATTAAACTAGACCAGGGGTAGGCAACCTTGGCTCTTTTATGACTCGTGGACTTCAACTCCCAGAATTCTTGAGGGGAAAAGGGAGAGGTTCCAAGCTGAGCCAGGCTGGCTCAGGAATTCTGGGAGTTGAAGTCCACGAGTCATAAAAGCCAAGGTTGCCTGCCCCTGAACTAGACATACCCAATTCCAGCAACTGTTCCTTATATGTTTTAGCCTCCAGTCCCCTGATGATCTTTGTTGCTCCTCTCTGCACTCTTTCTAGTGTCTCCACATCTTTTTTTAGATCGTGGTGACCAAAACTGGATGCCGTATTCCAAGTGTGGCCAACACATTATAAATTCACGTGATCTTGATTCTATCCGTCTGTTAATGCAGCCTAGGACTGGGTTCGCTTTTTTGGCAGCTGCAGCACACGGCTGCTCGTATTTAAGTGGTTGACCACTAAGACTCCTAGCTCCCTCTCAGATCTTCCGAGGCCATGCCAATTCTCCAGGCACAGCAGTGGGGATTTGACAATTAATCTGACAGGAGAATTGGCTGGCCTGGGATGTCCCATAGAAAGGAGGTGGAGATAGTTTGATGAAGAGAAGGACGAGGGGGGACATGAAAGCAGTACTCCAATATCTCAGGGGCTGCCACAAAGAAGGGGGAGTCAAGCTATTCTCCAAAGCGCCTGAAGGCAGGACAAGAAGCAACGGGTGGAAACTAATCAAGGAGAGAAGCAACCTAGAACTAAGGAGAAACTTCCGGACAGTTAGAACAATTAACCAGCAGAACAACCTGCCTCCAGAAGCGGTGAATGCTCCAACAATGGAAGAGACTGGACAGCCATTTGTCTGAAATGGTATATGGTAGTGGTTCTCAAACTTTTTAATGCCGCGACCCCCCCAACCGATCGTAAGTCGAGGACTACTCAACTGATGCAGCACCGTTTGCAGAATGGGACTTTTGGCGGGCTCAGCAGGGCAGAGACAGCCTGGACAATTTCTATTGGCGTTTGAAAGCCAATAGAATTAGACTCTATTCAAGAGAGTCTATTCTATTGGCTTTCAAAAGCCAATAGAATAAAAGGGAGTAGCACAGCTAAGGAAAAAGGGGAAAAAATGGCGGACTGCGTTGTTGGCGACCCCGTGAAATGGTCGTTCGACCCCAAATGGTGTCCTGACCCACAGGTTGAGAACCACTGGTATAGGGTTTCCTGCGGTGAATGCTCCAACACTGGAGGTTTTTAAGAAGAGACTGGACAGCTATTTGTCTGAAATGGTATAGGGTTTCCTGACTGAGCAGGGGGTTGGACTAGATGACCTCCAAGGTACCTTCCAACTTTATTATTATTATTATTATTATTATTATTATTATTATTATTATTATTATTAGTATTAGTCAAGAAGAAGGACAGGGAGGGTCTCCCTGATTATAAGACTTCAGGCAGGAGAAGACCAACAGAATACAGGCAGCGTTGAAGAAAAGCTGCCAGACAGCCAGCCCAAATGAAACAGCTGGGGTTTTTTGTTTTTGTTTTTTTGCTGTTGGTTTGGCAGCGTTTTGATTTAATAATTGCATGTTTCGAGAAATAAAATGGGTAGTCTTCGTGTTTGGTTCGCTAGAGATATTTGCATCTCTGTGTGAGAAGACTTCAGTGTTGTGGCTCTAGAGCAGGGGTCTTCAAACTTGGCCCCCTTTTTTTTCAAAAATTTATTTATAATACAATTAAAAAAAACATTGGATATAATGTGACATTCAAGTATATACATTCCTATCAAATTATTCCACACTTTACAATTGATTCTTCATCTCTGAATATACATCTAAAGTTTATTGTTGTTGTTAATTGTGAAGTCGTGTCCGACCCATCGCGACCCCATGGACAACGTTCCTCCAGGTCTTCCTGTCCTCTACCGTCTTCTGGAGTCCATTTAAGTTCACACCTACTGCTTCAGTGACTCCATCCAGCCATCTCATTCTCTGTCGTCCCATTCTTCTATTGCCCTCAATCTTTCCCAGCATTAGGCTCTTCTCTAGTGACTCCTTCCTTCTCATTAGGTGGCCAAAGTATTTGAGTTTCCACTTCAGGATCTGACCTTCTAAAGAGCAGTCACAATGGATCTCTTCTAGGACTGACCGGTTTGAACGCCTTGCAGTCCAAAGGACTCGCAGGAGTCTTCTCCAGCACCAGAGTTCAAAGGCCTCAATTCTTTGGTGCTCAGCCTTTCTTATGGTCCCACTTTCACAGCCATACATATATTTCTATCTTAACGCTAGCCTATAATCCCAACCATCCTCCTCAAATCCCTCCAGCGGTAAAATTTATCCCAGGTTTCGAAATAAACTGATCTACATTTGTCTTTCAATACCATTGTGAGCCTGTCCATTTCCACAGATGATAATATTTTATACAGTGTCTCTTCCTCTGTGGGAATTTCTTTGCTCTTCCGTTTTTGCGCCAACGCAAGCCTAGCTGCCATCAAGATATGTAACAGCAAATAGATTGTTCCCTTCTTGTATTTCTCCGTCGTTATTCCCAACAGGAAAAGTTCAGGTTTTAACTCTAAGTCCAACATTAATATATCCTTCAGTCATCTTTGTATCCTATTCCAACTTGGCCCTTTTTATGACTGGTGGACTTCACCTCCCAGAATTCCTCAGCCAGCGTGCCTGAGTTGAAGTCCACCAGTCATAAAAGGGCCAAGTTTGAAGACTCCTGCTCTAGAGCTAAGGAGCTAGTCCTCGTGAGCTCCTCCCCCATCACTTGCGTTGTTCTATCCTGGCCCCTTTTTTTTTTCGCAACGATTGCCCTCTCCTTCCCCATTGCACAATGCAGCCAGTACGCAACAGTTGTTTCTCAACTTGAAGAAGGCTGGTACTTCAACTCCCAGAGTTCCCCAGCCAGTATGACCAGCTGAGGAATTCTGGGAGTTGAAGTCCACCCTTCTTTAAAAATGGCAACAGTTGAGAAACACAGTGCTAGCTGAAGGGGAGGACCAAGGGAAGAGGATGTGAGACATACGCGCGCACGCACACACACACACGTCTTATGCAAAAGGAGCTTATTTGCAGTGCCTCAGATCATCATCTTGACTGCGTCAAATGGATTTCCGAAGAAAGCAAAGGGGAACTGAAAAGGGTTGAGCACGCCTCCCTCCCTCTCTCCCTCTTAATAGAAAGCTAATTTGGGCAGAAGAATGTTATGGAAACGTCACCCGTTGCGCCCAAGCAGGCTTTTATCGCTGGAATTTTCAAGAAGATACTGGACTGCCATCTGTCAGATATGGTGTAGAACAGGGGTCTTCAAACTTGGTCACTTTTAAGACTTGTGGACTTCAACTCCCAGAATTCCTCAGCCAGCCCTGAGGGAATATTTGGAATAATAATAATGAAGTTGGAAAGGACCTTGGAGGTCATCTAGTCCAACCCCCTGCTCAGGCAGGAAACCCTATATCATTTCAGACAAATGGCTGTCCAGTCTTTTCTTAAAAACTTCCAGTGTTGGAGCATTCACCGCTTCTGGAGGCAGGTTGTTCCACTGGTTAATAGTTCTAACTGTCAGGAAGTTTCTCCTTAGTTCCAGGTTGCTTCTCTCCTTGGTTAGTTTCCATCCCTTGCTTCTTGTCCTGCCTTCAGGCACTTTGGAGAATAGCTTGACTCCCTCTTCTTTGAGGCAGCCCCTGAGATATTGGAAGACTGCTATCATGTCCCCCCTCGTCCTTCTCTTCATTAAACTAGACATACCCAGTTCCAGCAACCGTTCCTTATATGTTTTAGCCTCAAGTCCCCTAATCATCTTTGTTGCTCTTCTCTGCACTCTTTCTAGAATCTCAACATTTTTTTTTACATCGTGGTGACCAAAACTGGATAGTTCAACTGTGGGGTCCTTGGTGCTCTCTCAGCTTGGTGGTGTTCTTAAGTATAAGAGTATACAGGTAGTCCTCAACTTACAATAGTTCGCTTAGTGACTGTTCAGAGTTACAACAGCACTGAAAAAAGCAACTTAGGACTGTGTTTCACACTTATGACCATTACAGCATCCCCACGGCCATGTGATCAAAATTCAGACACTTGCTAACTGACTCATATTTATGACGGTTGCACAGTCCGGGCTCAAGGGATCCCCCTTTGCGACCTTCTGAAAAGCAAAGTCAGTGGGGGAAGCCGGTTTCACTTAACGACCCTGTTCCTAATTTTACAAGTGCCGCCATTCGCTTCACAACCAGGGCAGGAAAGGTGGTAAATCGGGGCCCCACTCGTTTAGCAACTGTCTTGCTCAGCGACAGAAATTTTGAGGTGGACGGTGGTCGTGGGGAGAAGCCGATCAGCCAGGGATCCGTCCTGAAGACCTTCGTCTCCTCTGGAACTGGGCTTCTATGTTTGGGAGACCAGCGGTAGGACGGGAAATTGAAGAAGGAAGCTCAGATATCTCCACCAAACCTTCCAGCCAATGAAAAGGGCTGGTGGGGTTTAGCAGGAAGAAGAACGCCACCACTCACTGTGGGCCAAAAAAGGTAGGATTTGCAGATTCCCCCTCCTGCCTCTTTTCCACCTTGTCCCTCAAAAGCATCCCAAAATGGTCCGTCAGATCTTCCCAGAGGCAGGAGAAGCCTCCTGAAAGCAGCTGCGTCGTGGAGTTTCAACATGTCGGCCGAAAGCCTTAATGAGTAACAATAAGACGGGGACTCTCTCGGGCCCCACCCTTCACTTCTGCACATTGCCAGGCTTCTCAACCACTTCCTCAGTGTGGTCACAGCCTTGTGTCTAGGAACGCTTCTCGAGAGCTCTCCAGCGGCGTCTGCAGCTTTCCCCAAAAAGGCCTTGGGTCTTGCATTGGTTACGCCATTTCCGCCATCACGCCCTTTCCTGTTAAGTAAGTTCTTTTTTTGCTTCCCTCTCCTTCTCTAGTTTTCTACCACATTGGGCCCCTTCTCCTCCTCCTTCTCCTCCTCTTCTTCTTTTTCTTCTTCTTCTTCCAAACGTATTATGCTCAGCTTGGGAAGAGAGCTCCAGAAGTCTTGGAGAAGCCTTCAGGATGGCTAGATGGCATGGTCTGGGCCACGGTGCAGGTATGGTGTGGTGCTCCCAACTCTTTAATTCTTCTCCTTGGTCTGAAGGTGCCAGGTCTACACTGGGTTTGCTACCAAGATGGGGATGGTTGGAGAAGGGGGTAGGAGCAAAAGAAAACCAACCTATGTCCAAGTGGAATGGCTTGCCTTCAGAAATATCCATCCTTGGATATTTGGTATAGAGTTTGCTGCTTGGGCAGGGGGCTGGATTAGAAGACCTCCCAAGGTCCCTTCCAGTCCTATGATTTTATGTTGTAATCGGGTGGAAGATCGTTAAAGGGAGATCTAACCTCGAATTAAGGAGAAATTTTCAGACAGAACCATCCGTGGAACCGCTTTGCCTCCTGAAGTTGTGGGCGCTCTATCACTGGAGGTTTTCAAGAAAAGATTGGACAGCCACTTGTCTGAAATGGTATAGGGTCTCCTGCTTGGGCTGGGGGCTGGACTAGAAGACCTCCACGGTCCCCTTCCCACGGTCAAGTTCTGCATTTTGTATTCTCAGTGTAATTCTCCCTCTTTTATAATCGATGTTGGGGAACAGGTTGAGTGAAATCTAACATAGTTTTGCAAAGTTCTGCCTTTCCATAGCTGTATTTAATTCCTATTTATGGTTTATGCTGGAGGGCGAATGAAAATTGATAATAGCTTTGCGCATGCACCAAATGTTAATAGTGCACCAGCAGGCCGGATCTATGTCTCTTGTTCACGTTTCCATGCCTCGGTGGCCCCACCACAGGTTGAAAAAGGAAAATAACAAAAGATGTGACAGAGGAGTTTTTAGTAGGTCACAAACTCCTGTTTCGTCCGTTTTAAGATTTCACTTTAATTGTGCGAATTCAGGCACTAGTTTGTCGGCCGAGGCTCAGGGTTTAGTGTGAAGTGTAAAGCTTTCACCTCATCCCTTGTTTGACAGTGTCTCTCTATACCAGGGGTAGGCAACCTTGGCTCTTTTATGACTCCTGGACTTCAACTCCCAGAATTCCTGAGCCACCCTGGCTCAGCTTGGAAACCTCTCCCTTTCTCCTCAGCGTGGCTGGCTCAGGAATTCTGGGAGTTGAAGTCCACGAGTCATAAAAGAGCCAAGGTTGCCTACCTCTGGCCTAGGCCGCTTTATGACTCGTGGACAACTCCCAGAATTCCTGAGCCAGCATGGGAGAACTATGGCCCCCTCATGACTCATGGACTTCAACTCCCAGAATTCCTGAGCCAGCATGGGGGAATTATGGCCCCCTCATGACTCGTGGACTTCAATTCCCAGAATTCCTGAGCCAGCCTGGCTCAGCTTGGGAACCTCTCCCTTTCCCCTCAGCGCGGCTGGCTCAGGAATTCTGGGAGTTGAAGTCCACAAGTCATAAAAGAGCCAAGGTTGCCTACCTCTGCTCTATAAATATTGGATTCTTGCTTTATACAGATAGCCCTCGACTTATAAGAGTTTATTACTGACCATTTGAAGTTACAACGGCACTGAAAAAAGTGACTTATGACCATTTTTCACACTTAACAACCATTGCAGCATCTCCATGGTCACGTGATCAAAGTTCAGATGCTTGGCAACTGGCATGTACTTACGATGGTTGCAGGTTCCCCGAGTCACGTGATCCCCTTTTGCGACCTTCTGACAAACAAAGTCAATGGGGGAAGCCAGATTCACATAACAACCATGTTACTATCTTAACAGCTGAAATGATTCACTTAACAATTGTGGCAAGAAAGGTCGTAACATGGGGCAAAATTCACTTAACAACTGTCGCACTTAGCAACATAAATGTTGGCTCAACAGTCGTCGTAAGTCGAGGACTACTTCTGTATTTGGGGTTCAGATATGAGCAGGTCTTAAGGCTGCAGTGACATGACATAGGCCCTAATCTTAATTGCAACAATGCCGTGAGTTTAGTTCCTGTCTCCCCGCCCCCACCCTGGGGTCGCCATCATTATTGAGATGGTTTATCTCAGATTGTCCAGGAGATAAATCAGATTTTAAAGTCTTTGCACGCGTGTTTGGATTGCAGAACATAGAATGGGGAAATTGCTTTGATGTGCAGTGTACATCAAGATATCAGGAAATCTCTTTTTTTTTTTTATTCTGGGGAACTTGATAGGCATGGCTGAAGAGTCATCTTAAACTATAATCTCCAATTAGACATCCTGGCTTGTGATGTTTTTCATAGCGGAGATGGTCTTTAGAGATTTTAAATCCTTGTGCCTTATAGCGAAGCAGCATCTAAAGGCTTGAGATTAATAAAGCATGCATCTCTTTGAAAGTTTTATCTTTTGAACTTGGGTTCCTTATTGCTTTTTCACCAAAGATCTTTTTACCCCCGGAAGCTTTTGGATACGCTAAATTCTTCGCAACCGGGAGAGTAGAATAGGGTGAGATAAACACGCCATTAAAATTTTCAAAAAGTCATTAAAATCAGTTTTTGTATTCCAGTAAAAGAAGAATCCGGATTCTTTGATTTCTTTGTATAATAATAATAATAATAATAATAATAATAATAATAATAATAATAATAATAATAATAATAATACGAGAAAGAACGAGAAGATAACAAAATACAAAGACCTAGAAATAGAAAGACTGTGGCAAAAGCAAGCAAGGGTAGTACCAATAGTAATAGGCGCCTTGGGTGCAATCCCAAAACAACTGGAGCACCATTTGAACACCCATCATCGGCATTGACAAATTCGCTATTAGTCAATTGCAAAAGGCGGCCTTACTAGGAACTGCTTCCATCCTGCTACGATATCTGTAATACCATCAAACATCCATATCTGCCTATCCCAGGTCCTGGGTAAGGACTCGATAGGTAGACAAAATGCCAAATCCAGTCTAAACATCTGGCTGACTGTGCGATGATCCATAATAATAATAGTAAAGTTGAAAGGGACCTTGGAGGTCATCTAGTCCAACTCCCTGCTGAGTCAGGAAACCCTATACCATTTCAGACAAATGGCTGTTCAGTCTCTTCTTAAAAACTTCCAGTGTTGGAGCATTCACCGCTTCTGGAGGCAGGTTATTCCACTGGTTAATTGTTCTAACTGTCAGGAAGTTTCTCCTTAGTTCTAGGTTGCTTCTCTCCTTGATTCGTTTCCATCCGTTGCTTCTTGTCCTGCCTTCAGGCGCTTTGGAGAATAGCTTGACTCCCTCTTTGGGGCAGCCCCTGAGATATTGGAATACTGCTATCATGTCCCCCCTCGTCCTTCTCTTCATTAAACTAGACATACCCAATTCCAGCAGCCATTCCTTATATGTTTTAGCCTCCAGTCCCCTGATCATCTTGCACTTCTCTCTCTCTCTTGCAAAGCAGGGGCATCTGTTTTAATTTCTCTACTTGTGCTGCCACTGCTTTTAGCAAAATTCCCTGGCCACTTTGGCTTTGGTGAGCTAGGAAATCCTAGGGTTGTTACAAGTATTAAGAAGATCTCAAACTGAATAAAGCTTTTCATTCATTAAGGGAGCCTGCTGTTCCTCAAACATTGACTGTGTTCACACAACGCCTTTAACCGGACCAGTTAAAACCCTGATGGCTCTAGTCACAAAACCTGCATTGAATTCTGGTTTGGGGTTTTTTTTGGGGGGGGGGGGAATGCAGGCCTTCTGGCACCGTGCCGTGGGAAGTCCTATGCAAAGGCAAAAGAGAGTTTAACTCAGGCTAGGTTACCTTCTGTGTGAATGCAGTTCAGGTTAGGTGAGCATGCTGTGTGAACGCAGTCCTTGTGATACACTAGAAAGGAAGATATGCAGCTTTTTTTTTTCCTTCTTGGCAGTTGTGAGATGTGGTGAGGGTTTCCCCTTTTTACCCAGCAGTCTGTTCTCCAAGGTTTGTCGAAGACACCATAGTTATGTTCCTCAAACATAATATACAATACTGGCTCAGCTTGCAGCCAGTGGGGGCGCATTTTTAACTCTGGTTGTTCGCACCCTTGCACAACTGCTGTGTAGTGTTGCAAACAGGTGCTGCCTTCGTGTTTCTGTATCCTCTTGAGTTCAAAATCCAACACATCTCCGTTGGGAAAGTTCATTTGGCGCCCGCAAATCTCCAGCTTTCAGCTGTGAATCCATTTTCCCATAATGGAAGAAAAGGACGAGGGGGGACATGATAGCAGGGTTCCAATATCTCAGGGGCTGCCCCAAAGAAGAGGGAGTCAAGCTCTTCTCCAAGGCACCTGAAGGCAGGAGAAGAAGCAACGGATAGAAACTAATCAAGGAAAGAAGCAACTGAGAACTAAGGAGAAACTTCCTGACAGCGAGAAAAATTAATCAGTGGAACCACCTGCCTCCAGAAGCTGTGGATGCTCCAACACTGGAGGTTTTTAAGAAGAAACTGGACAGCCATTTATCTGGAATAGTCTCCTGCTTGAGTGGGGAGGGGGGTTGGACTGGATGACCTCCAAGGTCTCTTCCAACTTTATTATTATTATTATTAAGTTTGGAATATTAGATCTTTCCTTCTGCAAGATGCACAGTTAGTCCCAAAGGTGCTTTTTCAAAAGGCAAGTGGGCTTCGTTTTTCCTTGAAGACTTTTCCTTGAAAACTTAGTTTCTCTCTGAAGAACCGAAGAAGCTTCTTAGACGAGAAGTGAAAGGTCTTCAAGGAAAAACAAAGTCCAGGGGCCTTTTGAAAAAAAACACCTTTGGGACAGCTGTGACCTGGATGACTGACTGTCTCTATGGTCATCAGGGAAATTTAGTCTTGATAAAGAGACTTCGAGATACATTAAGACAGTTTCCCCATCCCCAAAACACTCCAGATAAGCTGCACTCCAGCTCTGATCATTATCAGCCAGCATTGTCTTTAACCTCCATGACCAAATCCTAAACATCTGGCATCCAGTTGTGGAAGGCTGGACTAACTGCTTTGCTCACGGGATGGAGGCTGGGGGCTTTTGCTCAGCCCTCAAAGATGTACATTTTGTGCAGTTCACACATGCACAAACCTACCTAGCTGTGTGGATTCAGACCAGACGGGTAGGCAACTGTGGCTCTTTTATGACTCGTG